GTGACAGGCACAAGCTTATATAGAAAACACATTTGAACTTGGTCTAAGTTCATTCTGGAAGTCCAATGCTCCTGCCTACATTGTCCTACAGCTGCCATTGTAATTTATATCTGTAAAGATCCTGTGCGTAATGATTGCTATGCCTTTTGGTACCTGTACAACTTGTAGTTTTTGAAATATTAATGTTTAAACTTTATTCCAAATTCATAAAATTGGAGTCAATGGGGCCTTGTAATGGTCCAATACTGCCCCCAGCTGTACTCAACTTAGTACTGCACCATAGTTTTTTTTATATTTAATCTCAATAGTTCAGTGTTAGCAATACTAATATGATTGTATTTTGATGTTTTACTATAATATTGTCTTAATACTGTTCTATTGTTGTAATATTATGCAGTTTAGTGTCAATAATTGTATTGGCAATGTGGCCTCTTTCTGCACACATACAAACCAACCTCTGCCACCACCTTCTGCCACAGCTCCATTGGTCTAATGGTCTATGTCATGAACTTTCATGTGGGAGATCAGGGTTCAAAACCCAGCAAATCCAACTTTAACAAAAAATCTCTTTAAACTTCATATTGTCACACAATTACCTTAATTACAAACACCTGCTGACGTGACAGGCACAAGCTGGTATAGAAAACACATTTGAACTTGGTCAGAGTTCATTCTGCATGTCCTCTGCTGCAGGCAAATCCATGCTGCAATAACATGCTACATGGCAATACACACTTGTTTGTACATCGTAAAAACCCTTGTCTAGTGTATGTAATGTTGTTACTGTTTGAAGGGACTACAGATGTAAATTAGCCTTAGGCTAAATCTGGTGCAATGCATCAAATTATGTTTAAATTGCACACTGTCCCGAACAAATAAATTCATAAAAAAAAAAATACTAAGTGCCAAAAAATAACCGATTAATGTTTTTCTGATGATTAATTGCACACGATACGATTATGCCCAACCCTACCTCTGACATGACTCTACTTCACTATCATAATCAAACAGATGCAGCTCCAACCATCTCCCAAAACAGAAACACAAAACTAAAAAGTGGGAAATCAATACCGGACGTTAACATCGGCCCAGTTTTACATATCGGGCCGATACCGATACATCGTTCATCCCTAGTTTTAATGCGATCGTTCAAAAAGCTGCGTTGGAAACAGTGTTTGATTAAAGCTGTTTACTCAACAGGTTTCAGGGCATCAGTCCGTGTTCATCAACGAGCCTCGGTTGTCTGACTTCAAGCAGGTCCTGCTGAGGGAGGGCATCCAGGCTGAATTTGTTGGAGGAGTTCTGGTCTGCAACAACTTGGTGGCCGTTCGAAGGGTGAGTACCGCCCCCACTAACAAATTAATTAGACATTGTGTAAAAAAAACAACGTTTTAGATAAAAGAAGTGCTACTACAATCATCAAAGCCTCACCAACGACTTGCAAAGTCTTCCTTTAGCTGAGTGTTTGTTGTTTTTTTAATTCCATGCTGCAAGTGGGACTTCCTTGGTGTGTGGGGCGTGGTTCGATTGGTCAGATTTACTATTTTAGTTGGGGTTTGAAGAAACCAGTTAAATGGAAGCTGTGCAGCTGCTGGGGACGAGTACCGTATTTTTCGGACTATAAGCCGCACCTGCCATTTAAAAAAATAAAAAAATAAAAAACCCGTGAACATTAGCATATAAGCCGCACCGGACTATAAGCCGCACCCCCAACATAAAAAAAACAGTACACCCAAATTTTCCGTCAAAAAAGTGAATTCAACATCAAAACATAAAAAGCAAACCTTTAGGAATTAAAGTTCGGAGGAATACGGTTCATTTAACGGACCTTATTTTGGTAGTTTTCTTTAACAGTTTCTGGTCCAACAAAACYTCTCATTCATCTTCCTCCGGCGCACTGAAACCATCGAAGTCCTTTTCTTCAGTGTTGGAGTTAACAAGCTGAGAAAAGCTGCGTCACACAGCGGTATCTGTTCAGTGTCGGAGTTAAACAAGCTGAGAAAAGCTGCGTCACACAGCGGTATCTGTTGTCCTCCCGGGGTAATGCTGGCTCTGAAGCTGTGGTGTCCTCTTCACGTAGCAGTCCAGCCTTTCAGAACCCAATGGTGATGGTGGACTCATTCACTCTGCTCCACACTGTTAGGATCCACTGGCAGACATCAGGAAATGACGCTCTTCACATT